TGCAGGATTCAGGAGTGAAGCTGCTCTCTGCTGGACTGAAGAGTCCACACTGTAGACTGGAGACTCTCAGGTCAGGATTCAACTTTTATTTCACATATTACACTTTAAATGTTTACTCACAAATTAAAGATTATTGAAAAACATACCTTTTGTCAATAGGATTAAACTGTATAGATAATTATATAATATAATTAAAAACACTGCAGTAAAAATAAGATTTAAAAATTCTGGGAAAAATTATTTATAATTTATTTGATTTTCAGCTGTTGTTCATAGTCAGACACACAGAGAATTATCACATGACATTGCTCATTGCCTCAGATCTTGAACCGTTGAGAAGTCTTTCTACTCATTATGTTTTTCTACATACAACAGCTTTACTGTTTTAGTTCATGCTCACCACTCAAAGACTTTTTCAGCAACAACCCACTGTACACTACCTGCCCAGCAGCAAACAGACACAGTTAGAGACTAGTTGGTAAACATAGTGGAAAATCTAGCAGTTTAAGAGCAAGATTTTTTTCTTAAGAGCTGGTGAAGACTTAGGCCCATTTTTAATCTCAGCACTCTTTATCATACTTTTCAGTATTCAACGTTTCAGTTAGCTTCCCAGTGCAGCCAACTTTTAAGGAACATTAAGTAACGACATTAATCTTAGAAGTCCAGTGTGTAACATTAAGGGGGATCTATTGGCATATGCTTTCATTAGTGTATAATCACCTGAAAGGAAGAATAGTTCTGTTTTCGTTACCTGTGAATGTATGAATTATGTAGGCAGGGGGTCCTCTTGTACGGAGTCCGCCTAGCTAAACTGTTTCTACAGCAGCACAGAATGAACAAACCTAACACTGGCTCCAAATAGAGCCCTTTGCATTTTTCACAGCCACCATAGTTTCTTCTACATGTTTGGAAAGGTGAGGGGTATTCAGTTGGTTGTGATCTGCAGTCCCACCACTAGATGTTAATATTGCCACAGACTCTTCTTCTCCACTCTGCTAGCTTTAGAAGGTTATAACAGAAGGAAGCAAATGTTTGCTAAGAAATTTGTAACATCGGCTTCATAAAATGTTAATAAGTCAGTGTTGCATTTTACATCTTATTGTTCTGCTGTGGTGGTCAAAAATTAATGTATTCAGTCAAAATACTTTGTTGATTTTGTGTTCCGAGTTATTTGACTGTATAGTAACAATATATTTCAAAACAGTGGATTGATGGGAAAATTTTTATTTAGCTAATTTAAATCAATGTGTTTATATTAAAAAGTCAAGAAAAGATGAAAATGAATAAAATATTGTGTGTGTGTGTGTGTGTGTTTGTGTGTGTCTGTGTGTGTCTGTGTATATGTGTCTCCAGGCTGTCAGGCTGTATGATCACAGAGGAAGGCTGTACTTCTCTGGCCTCAGCTCTGAGATTTAACCCCTCCCATCTGAGAGAGCTGGACCTGAGCTACAATCATCCAGGAGACTCAGGAGTGAAGCTGCTGTCTGCTGGACTGGAGGATCCACACTGGAGACTGGACACTCTCAGGTATGAAGAGACAACCAGAGTTCACAGTGTTTCCCACAGACCTCCTAACTGATATCAGACCAGGATCTGGTGTTGATCATTAATTGACGACTACGACACACATTCTTTTTGCAAATAAAATCAAGTGTTTATCAACAACAATACAAACAAAGAGGTTCAAAGATTAGAAAGCTGTTTCAGTCACATTAAGATAAGATATTCCTTTATTGATCCCGCATAGGAGAAATTCAAGTTAGACAAAGCAGCACAGGAGAAATGTATTGCAAACAGCAAATATAATATAATATATAATATAATATTAAAAGAGAATATATAAAATATATATATACAGTATGTACAATAAAGTTGAATATGGTCCATATGGATAACTGTAGTGGATAACTGTACATATGCTGTGTTAATAGCCAATCAGCGGGGGTGGGAGGTATTGGGTGCTGTGGCGTTGTGGAGTCACACTGAAGGACCTGAGCCTCCTCAGAAAGAACAGTCTGCTCTCTCCTTTCCTGTAAAGGGTCAGTTCCGGTCCAGTTAATTGTTAAGCTGCATCCCCACAAACTTGTAGGTGTCCACTATCTCTAGCTGACAATGGAGGAGTCATCCGACAACTTCAGTAGGTGGCTCGCTCCAGTTGAAGCACAAGTCAGAGGTGTAGCACAGGATAGAAACCATGACAGTACAATTCCTTTGGGTGTGTCTGTGTTTCTTTTCACCATGTCTGAAAAACAGCCAGCCAGACTAGTTTTTTTGTGTGTGACACAAAGTTTCAAAAAGTTTCGAAAATTCACTTGTTACAGCAGCTCCAGAACACAACAGATCTGTGTACACTGTTTGGTGTTCGTTACAGCGGTTATTTACCAGCTTAACATTTAAACGTAGACTAGTTTTACCTAAACACTCAGAGTTACTTCCTTTTTTTAGCGACTTTTCGCTATTTTCAAAGTTTTCACTGAGACGTACTTCATTAACATTAGCGTTAGCGATGGCATTCTCCCTCTTCTCTTTGCTCCTCTGTCCTGCTTCAGTGTGCCAGATGTTCAGTTATTCCTCAGCCTCTTTTACTGATAAATGGTTCTGTAATTAAGTGTAGTTTATTTACTTGCGCTGGAGGTGAGGATTAGGTGAATTAGAGGCAAGGCACGGCACCACCGAGCGTTAGCCGCTATAGTTAGCCAGCCCCCAGTAGTCGGTGCGGGCCGACCGAAGGGTACTTCAGTTAGCCGTCCTCCTCCGGTAGTCCCCGGTAGTTCGCTGAGCAGCCGAGTAGCCAGGGAGGCTGGTGACCTTTTCGGGAGAAGCATTAGCCGCAAACCGCCAGAAGCCCACAGTTCACCACAAACCCATTCACGTTTCAAATAGATGGTTCCCCACTCAGCGACACACCCACTGAGTACAGGCTTGATTATTGGCAGCTCCATAGTCAGAAAACGTGAAGTTCAGTGAAGCCAGCAACCATAGTTAAATGTTCTCCCTGGGCCAGAGCGGTGCGATGTGAATCATATTTAAAACTGCTGGCTAAAGATAAACGTAAATAGTTTTACTGCCACGGGCTTCGACATGGAGGACGTCTCTGCACAGATATCAAGAGGATGAACATGTTTTATCATGGGTTGGCTATGGTTTCATGTTCTTGCTGTGTTGCACTCACCTCTCAGGCAGCTCATTTCCATTAAAGACAACCCTCAATTTTTAAAGTAGCTTGTGTTTGTTTTCTCTTCAGCCATTCCTCAACAGATTTCTGTTTGCAGTAAAGAGGAACGCCTGGTGACAGATGAAACCCAGCCAGCTTTTTAGATCTCTGCGGTCTCTGTCAGGACACGTTTTGTCAAAAGAAAACTTCCCATTCCAGCAGAATGTTTCTGTATTGTCGGGGTGGGGTGGAGGTGGGTTGCCAAGCGTCTTATAGAGGAAGCAAGTAAAGGTAGGCAGGCTGAAAGCCAGCCTTAAAAAGGCGCCCTGACTGATGATGATGGCATGTGCCAATTGGATGCTTGAAGGGAATCAGTTGATGTGTGTTTACGACCAGAGATAGAATTGAGAGCTGGAGCTTTGAACTCGTCGCCCTTGCTCACTCACACTGTGCTCAATTTATTGTCTCAAGTTTTAGCCTTTTAGTTTGATTTCTAACTCACACATTGAAAAGCCATGTCAACCTTCAACAATTTTAACATTTAAAAAGTTTAACAAAAAATAGAAATAATTATT